GGTCTGTGGGAGCGGAAACCGTGAATATTCCAATGAAGGATAGTTATACTTTCGTTGATTTAGTGATATAGATTGTAGTACGTGTTGGAGAATTTGAAGGGGAAGCAGCTAGAGGGTGGGATAAGGACTGACAGGTTTGAGATGGGAGAAGTGTGGGAGTTGCTGTTCTATCAGGAGGGGTATTAGGAGATGGAGGGTCTGAGGGAGGGGATACTTGTGACATAAGGGATTCACGTGTGTATCCAGGAGGGAGTGGAAGGGATAGAGGGGATGGTGGGAGGGTTAATGTGGGCGGGGTTGGGTCAGGGGGTATGGGCTGTGTTGGGAGGGGGTAGGAGGATAGGGTGTAGGGGGGATATCGTTAGGAGGAGGATGGATATCAGCAATTACTTGGAGTGTGGAAGGAGCAGGAGTTGTAGGTTGAGTGTCAGTTTTCATTAAGTAATCTTGAATATTTTCAATAGTTCTTCTGTGGAGTTGGTTGGGGAGTTTTGGGGGATAAAGGATTTCTTGTGAGGGGGGAAGAGAGGACTGGTGTCTCAAGAGTAGGGCAAAGGATGGTGGGGGTGATTGTGTGGTAGGGGAAGAGGGGGTGGAACGTTTGTTCTGTCTGTTACGGGTAGTGCGAGGAGGGAGAGGGGAAGGTGTTGGGGTTGTAGTGGTGATTGGAGTATCTGTAGTAGAGATTGGGGTGTCTGGATTTAGGATGGCAAAAGAGTTTGACTGGGGAAGGTAGGAGGTAGAAGTGGGGGAGTTAGATGTAGGAGGGGTGGGTTTAGGAGAAGTGTTAGAATGATCAGTAAGAGAGAATCCACGTCGACGTGCTTCCTGTCTGGCTTCATGTAGTGCGAGTCCAAGTTTGAATCTGAGAGTTGCTACCTCAGATTCAAATTTGTAGGTGGGACAGCCCCTATAAAATACATTATGGGGGCCGCCACAGTTGGTACATGTGCGTGATTGTGCAGAGCAGTTAGATCGGGTATGGCCAGGTTGGGCACATAGTGGGCATCTGGCTGTGGAACGGCAATGTTTGGCTGGGTGTCCTAGACGCCAACAATTTGGCACTGACGTGGAGGAGGTTGGTATGGACGAACAGGGAGGGATTCTCCTCCTATGTAGACGTAAAGGGAAGGTCTGTCTACGGAAGTTAATTTTGGCTATGTTAGTGGATTTTCTTTCGATGACCTCTGGGGGGAATAGCTTTGTACTGATGTTGCATCATAGTCTGTGAGACAGGCAAGTAGGCCTTCTCCACAATCTGACCAATCTTTGTCATAGATTGGGCAATTTGCTGGGGAGATTGAGACTGTTCCGGTGCAAGTATTGAGGGTTGGATGGGGTTCTGCAAGGATGGGGTTACCATATAGGTCAGTTGGTTTTTGTTAATGCTATAGCTTGGTTTTCGGATGTACTGTGACAAGACGGGAGCGGTCGGGTCGGTTACGGAAAGAGACTTACCTACTTGTTTTTGGAGGCATTGTTGGAAGAGAAGGGTGTTGTCAGAGTAGGGAGCTGTGGGAGGGATCACGAAAATCGGTCCCATTTGGCTGCACTAAAGAGAGTATTCAAGATTGTTTAGAGATAGGGGTGGTAGAAGGGCGGGGGCGTGACGAAGATGGAGTAGTGTTGGGGGAAGTAGTGTTAGGAGAGGTGGGCAATAAGGCTGTAAGGTATTAATAAGGGAGGATGGGGTGGTTGATGTTGGAGGTTGTGGGGTAGAGGTGTTGAAGTTGAGCATGATGGGAGAGTGGAAATGTTCCTTGAGGGTTAATTGTTGGCTACTGTACCAGTAGGCATTGGTGAAGGGGTAGTTATGGCAGGTTCGGAGCCCCGTGGTCAAAGGACGGCCTGGGGTCAGGGTAATCGAGTGGGTTACTCCGTTTGGGGGGGTTGGGGAAAGCCTCATTGACCCTAACAGTGGGGATATATTTTCATACTGGCCATGGTAAGCCTGGATTAGTTGGGGATTTAAAAAAACAGTCCACCCCGCAGGGTCCCCTGAGGGGTTTAAGGGCTAGAGAAACTAAAATCAGGGGAATACCGTGCCCATGGCTCCCTCAGGCCGTTCAGGACTGGCACAAAGTCAGCCTTTCATCCTTTCAGCACGGCTCTCACACCTTAGGAGGTGGATAGCAGAAGGGTTTGGTGAAGGGACAGAAACAAAAGTGGGAAGGGAAAAAAAGACCATGCATAATTAGTTGAGTCGAGGGCTGAGTCCCAAGGTTGGGGAGTTCCCCATCATTGGGTCCCAGCTCCGCCTCCTAAGCCCCCCCACGACAACAACGGGAAAGGGAATTGGGGGGAACTTAGCTCTGAAAAAAAATCTCAGCTAAGATAAAGGAAGGTTGCTTTGTTTGTCTCGGATACATGAACCTCGGCGATTGTGGATTGGTGGTCTGCTTGGTGAGGGAGAGGGCATGGATAACCTCTCAGGTAGTGGCAACAAGTTTTTGTCAAAAACTAGGTCAGTAGTACTGGCATAGGAGCCCAGATTGTACAAGTCCACTGGAAAATTTTTTTCACTCACCTGTATTCCATGCCATTTAAATGTTAGAGCAGTAAGTGAGAAAGCACAGGCTAAGTGAGCGATTTCACCAAAAACATTTCATTAATTGAGATATGTGGTCTAATTTTGTATGCAGTCAAGAAGATGTGCGTTAATGACAAGAGAAAACCAAGAAGTTACCGAAAAAAAAATATTTTTCATGGGAAAAACGTGTCAATCAGCAATTTCAACCCAAATGATATTTGAAGGCAATACATTTTCATCAGTAATGAATACACATTTTAACCCCCAAGCAGAGATATTAATTTATAGAAGAAAAGCCTACAAGGCCAGTTTTAATGGCCTACAAGATATCATTTCCACTGTCTTGTTTTTCTATTTCTCATAACTTTTCCAAATAGTAAAATGGAAGATCTTTTCTGCCAATTATCAAATTGTCAGTCATTCATGTAATAAATTTCTTTTCTTATTCAAATAATATGCGAGTGAGTATACAAACCAACACTTGTTTCCTTTATTTGTGGGAACACAACTGGCATTTGTAAAAGAATAATTTTGGGGAAACCATCAGCTTCCCCGCTCCCTGGTCCCTAGAGAGGGAAAAAAGGGGAAAGAAAGAAGAGAAACTCAAAATAAAGACTTATTTTCTGCTTAAGCCTGAAGGATTAAGAATGTGTAAATACTTGACTATGTACAGCACACAAAAATTGGGGGGAAATTATAGTCATCATTACATGAATAAAATACTATACATAAAGGAATGGACAACTTAAGAAAAAAAAAACGTCTTGTATACTCTATTCCCAGTATATAAGATGCATTTCTCCTATAAAAAAAGTATATAAAAATCACAGTTTACAACACCCAAAATTACCTAAGTTGAGGCCAAGATGGAGCTGAAAATATTGACAGAATGTGGGTTAGTAAAAGCTCTATAGTCCAATTCAACAACAAATATTCAGTTTGTTTAGTAATAATATTGCAAATATTATGAGAAACAAATAATATATTTTTATAAAATAGCAAACGTGTAGCTACAGTTACTGAAGATGTAAAAAAGGGATTGGTTAGACTGACATAAACATAAATTGAACTTTTCATAGATACTTTTTTCTTTTTTCCCCCCCCACCCCAAGCAAAAAGCCTACCATCAGGTATTAGGCATTTCTTTTACCAAAGAAACAGCCATAATAAATGTGCATACATAGTGAAATGTGCTGAAATTCTTCCCTCTCCCTCTTAAAAAATAAAACAAAAAATAAATAAATAAAATAAAAATCATGCTGTGTCTTATCTGCTGGAAAAAATACAGTACATCAAAAATGACTCCTTATAACAGATCCATATAGTCATTGCTATCTTGAATTGACTGGCCAATACCCGTGCTGTCCCATAGCTGATGGTTCATAGCTGCTGGCCCATCCCCTATGCTGGCTATTGCCTGGCCCTATGACCTGCTGGCCCTGCCTGACCTAAACTGGGGCCTCACCCCTGCTGCTGCATCATAATGGATTTGTGCTAGCTGCTGTTTTGCTGTGTTGCTGTTGTGCTGAGCTGCAGTTGCGGATCTGCGCTGCCTCACTGAAGCAGCTGTTTTAAACCTGGATCTGCATGGTTGGCTGATCCATGCGCGGCTTCTTGCCCCAGGGTAGTGTTGCCTCTTGTCCCTGGGGCCCAATATTCATCCCTACCCCAACATGATGCCCTATGCGGCAACTGCTGAGAAGCTGCTGAACGCAATTTACACTGTGGTGCAGCTGCCCCAGTTGCTTGCTTGCTGCTGAATGTGACTGCTGCTGCTGCTGTTGCTGTCACAAAGGAACGCATTAGAAGACTCTCCAAAAAAATTGTGTAAAAAACAAGAAAGTTTGAAAGAATAAAGAAAAAGAAAACGAAGCCCTATAGAGATAAAGGCATAGATAATCTAAAATTAATTTAGTTTCAGTCATAGTAACAATATTACTATCTATACACATGATTTAAACTTAAGACGAGGAAGGTTAGATTCTGTAATCTCTCAATACTATCACCAATACAAAATGCTAATGCTTATTATGAAAAAGATATGCACCAACAATAAAACTTGTAACAAAAAAACAAGTTCTTTTAAGGGGATTGTTTGCTTTTCATCCTTGAGTCCAAGGCTTAATTACAGAAGTGACTACAATGCATCCAATCTCTAGAAATAAAGAACTGGCACTTATCCAGCTTGGAGTACGCAGTATGCCGAGTTACTTTCTTTCTTTTCCATCAGATGATAATTAATACTTTGTACTGTACATGCAGTTTGGAATGTCAAAAACATTATGCACTCTGTGTCTTACATTCTTGAAAGCATCATCGACACTTACCTATTTTTTTCTTTCTTGCTTTCCTGAGATTGGATAGTGTATGTTCAGAAATCAAACATACTTTATACGACCAGAAAATTCAGACAATATCCCCTCAACGATCAAATAAAAGCCACAGCGCAGAAATCGGTTTCTCCGCCCACCTGATTCTGACGCATCTGAAGCAGCTGCAGCTTCTCTTGGTCAGGTTGCTGCTGCTGCTGCTGCTGTTGCTGTTGTTGCTGTTGTTGTTGCTGCTGTTGTTGCTGTTGTTGTTGTTGTTGTTGCTGCTGTTGCTGTTGTTGCTGCTGCTGTTGTATATTGAGTGTTGGCCTGTGGTGAGTTGCGTGGCCAAGACGAGACCCGTGCCATTACTGAACATTAACCGGCCTCCTGGCCCCCCTGGCCCCCCCGCCCGGGCTGCCTAAGCCCTGAGACACATTGCCAATGGCATCTGTGACCATCTGCCTCACCCAATCATGGCATCCAACTGCAAGAGAAGCAAACCATTTTTTTTTTTCCATGATAAGATGGCAAATAATGAATACTCTTGCAACAGTACAATACAAGACAGAAGTACACATACACACATTCACAAGTACACAGCAATGCATGTATGGACAGATGTACACATGCACATTCCCAAAACCATTACAATGCATGCACATAACATACACACACTTTAAATCTTCAAACCCCAAATTAACAATGACAATAATATTCATTACACAACAAATAAATTACATCATAATTACAATAAATATAGAAATACAATAAATAGAAATAATTATTCTAATGATATACTAAATATAGTAATACTAATAGAAAAGTAATACCTTGACTAATAGGATGATGAGAGCCTGTGTGAGCTGCGGGTTCTGCTGGATGATCATGCTGCTGCCGTAGACATGACGTTCATGCTCGAGCCGAGGGGCAGAGGTGATTCATGAAGTGGCAACCAAGAGGGAAAGAAATGTTTTTGTTAGGATCATTAAGCAAATCACAGTGGAGTAAATATCTTTTTTACTGAGGATCGTGGGTAAGATGTTGCGGTCCCATTTTTCTTAAGCCACGTCAAACATGTAAGAAATAACACTTAATCTTTCTTCTATTAACCCTAACATTTTGAAAACGAGTAGGAATGAAAATGTTGGTGTCTTCTCTATATTTTCCTTTTTTTTCTTTTCCTATAAAAAAAAAAAAAAAAAAAAAAAAATAAGAAATTTCGAAACCTCTTAAAAAATCAAAGGTTACATTCCTGCGACCACAAGAAGGATGGATGGGCAAAGTGTTTCAGTAACTATTTATTATTGGAAGAAGTGGTAACAACATACAGATTGTCACTTTGTCGCTGAGAATGCTCCATTGACTTGGAAAATTGTGGACACAAGTTTCTCTATCTTGTCCAGCGTCCTTATTTTATATACTGTTACAATAGGGATTAAAAAAGCTAATCTGTTCCTTTAAATTAGCTTTCTTCTAAAACCTCTATTATCGGGCTGCCCAAGAAAGGGAAGCTCCCCTGTAGACATGGAAAAAGACAATGAAGCCCTCGTACCAAAAACAAACCTTTGTAAATTAAGGCAAGGATTCAATAATAGAAACAACATCTAAAACTTTCCCCAAAGATGGGCACGCTCCAACCACAGGTCTGATGGACGATCTATATATATCTAGGAAAAATATATTGTGTTTTTGTCTCTGATTTGCTTCAATATTACCATAATTAATCTTTTCTCGAATAAAGAGACGTACCTACATATAATCCCTCCACTTCTTCTCCTTGATTTCTTATCATTCCAGCTCTCATGATCCTCAAACAATTAAAATCCACAAAGCCAAACCCACAACAACCACAACCTATACACAACCACAGAATGAGTTCTTTTCTCTCCGCAAAAGAATCGTACCTGGAACGGTCGGCACGCTGATTCATACCCGGGCTATTCTGGACAACCATTACCGGTCCAACCACAGACACATTGTGCCCAGTCCACGGGCGGGCATGATATTGCCTGGGATCTGCAGTGAGAAGCATTAAATGAGAAAAGCATAAAACAATGTAGTTGTTGGTAAAATAAAAAGGTATTCAATAAAACAAATTCACGTTATGTCTATTGTGAGTAGTTTTCTCTAGCAGCTTGCATGCTAAAAAATGTGATACTAAGTTTAATCTCAAGTCTAGGACATGATGTATGTGGTCTACTAAAAAATACAGCTGCTATATTAAGGAAACTGTCCTGAGATAGCAGGGATTTGAGTAGGTATGTGAATAAGCTGAAATGATCTTTCCATATTGATGTTTAGTTTTGGCTGTCAAATATTTATACTGCACACCTTTTCTTAACCTAAGATAGCATAAATTGTCTATTTGTGTGGAGAAAGTAAAATACTGTCTTACAAAGGGGACAACAGTTATTTCAATCTTCTGGCAGCCTACTTAAAAAACAACGAGTGTGGGTGTTCTGGCCTGGCCTTTGACCAGTAGCCATTGGTGTTAGGGGAATAATACCATATAGCCACCAACTAGTATTATCAATGCACCACCATATTAAAATTGATTGACAATTACTTCATTATGCTTGATATGGAGCAGCATAACCTTGAAGTAACAAGGACTAACATAGCTCTTGTCAAAAGGCACCTCTAGATGATTTATCAAACCCTCTAACCAGGTGTACAATGTTTCTAGCTTGTGTGGTGCGTGTGTGTGTGTATACACACACACACAACCACCACACAACACACACACCCAACGCACACACACACACCACACAACACCACACACCCACACACCACACACACACACACCACACCCACACGCACACACACAATTGGTATATTTTGTGCATGTGGCCATCAATATCAGCTTGAGTCTCATAGAGGCTCAAGCCAACATGGAATGCTCTTATCTATAGAAGCAAAGCACAAATGTTTTAATTATTCATAAACCATCGACCAAAGGGTTGGGTTACAATAGGACCCAGTACTATCAAAAAAAAAAATAAAAAAATGTTTTTTTTGGATAATAATATCATTACAGTAGTTTCTAGTGTGTGGGGGGTTTTCTACTACCGACTCAATCTTTACACTTTTCTCAAAAATTCTCACATGGCAAATACCCTGCCTCATAACACCTACCATCTGCTCACTGCCTGCGATGAGCTTTGCCCATGCTACTATGAGATGGCCATCACCTAGGTTGCAGAGTGGTGTGCACTGATGAATGCCACTTGTTGTTCTTAGGTTAATCATGTCTACAAATACTATGATCAACAATTACCCAATACAAATATGCACAAATATCCATGTTAGAAGGTGTACCAAAATAATAAAGATTCACACATACCTTCCTTTCGTGCACCCTGAATAAACCTCATGATTTTATTCACAAAGGAGACTTGATCAACTGGGAATTGAAGCGACGTAGGCCTTCTTCTCGCATGAAAACAGCAGGATGATCACTTTGACCTCGTTTTGGTGATGGAGATGGTTTGGAACACGTTGTACGCAGCCAGTGCCTGTTGGTGGAAATGGATGCATGTGGAAAAAGTATGAATGAGAATGGATATTTCTTATGGGCACAAGAATATATTTTAAGATTTCAACTATATCTCTGTCAGAAATGACTATACTCCTCACCGAAATGAAAGAATTGCAAATTATTCCCTTACAATCCATTCCTTCTCCCTCCATCTTTCCCTCTTACTTCCCTTCTTCTTCCCTTTCTCCAAGCTCCTTCTCCCTCGGCTAAGGTTTATGCTGAATATTAAATACATCCATTTTGTATATGTATCTAAATTATTAATTATTACCATCTGCTTTTTCTAACTATTTTCAGAAAGTTTTTATACACTTAACTCAATGTGGCTGGGAAGAAAAATGTGCTCCTTTAACTTTTTTTGTGTGAAATTCTGTAAAAAGATGGCTCTGCCTAGTGCTTCTAAAGGAGTCAATTAGTAGACCTTGTGACCTGGACCTGATTTCACCTTCCTTGAAATTGAAGGAATAACATATTTTGACTAATCCTAAAACTATCCGTGACATAGACATTTATATACTAAAATGTTAATGCATGAGTGGACTGCAAAATAGATAATGTAAAAACTTTTGAAAATCAAGGAAAAGGTAAACAGGTGAGACAGTCAGGTTAGTAATTGCATTGAGCAAAGTGCAAGTGTAATCATCTATGTAGAAAAACAATTAATAAAGTAAACTCAGAGTGGGCATGGCATAACTACATTTCATGACCATCAGCTGGGTATTATCCATTAATCATAAAATTATCTAAACGATCTGTACTAAAAAATATGGATAACCTGCAAGATATCATTGATTGGACTGATCCCTCTTATATACAATCTCAGCGTAGCAGAGCTGATTTTTCCATGAGAATTTACTTCATTCCTACTTTAGACAAACAAGCTAATCACTGTTTAGATACACAAAATGTAGTAAACTCAACTGTGCATGACATAAATACTAGATACCCAGATTACATTGTTTTCTGTCAGTCATGGCAAGAATAGATCTAACCATTTCATGTGGCTGAAGCTACGACCTTAAATCCTAAGCATTTGCAAAAAAGAAAGTGAGGAAAACATCAATTTGTGCTTCTAATTTTCACTGAGCCCATCATCTGGCTCAGCATAGTGTAGGTTAAAAAATCTGTTGTCATCAAGGGTTAATCAATTATTCAATCTTTCTATGGTGTTATATCTACCTACATTTCAATTTCTAAACCTTTTATAAAATACTCTGAATTTCATATATCAAATCGATCCAGTAAGCGTTACACAAATCGAACATTACCAACACTTCCCATCCCTTCTGAACAAGAAGTTAGTTAGAGCATCCAGTTGCAGGACTTGATATGGCAAGAAACATGGACGTCTCACATTCTGAAGAAAGTGTTTCGAGGAGCCCGAGGATGTTTTTGGTATCATCTGCATATGAGTTAGTGACCAACCCTCAGTCTTTTTCTGTCAAAAAGGAGAGGCAAGTTGCAACATTTTTTGACTTCTGCGACCAGATGCACCATTCTATGATTACAGCATATTATATGAAAATGGGCAACACCTTCATCACCATCTGTCAATGCGCGAGGTTTTGTTGTCAAAAGAAAGGATTATTCTAATAGTAATCAACAGTCAATAAACATGATGCATTTGGCTCTGAATGTGTACTGCTTTCACATCATGGAACAGATATGGGTCTGGTGTAACAACAAACAGGATCAAAAAGTGCAATCGAAACAAGGTAAATCTGATTAATCTGCTTCCCCATCTGGAAGAGTTTCAGGGTCTTACAGACTCAAACATTACTCGTTGAAACCTTTTTACCATCAATGAC